ATTAGTTGACGCTTTCTGACTACACAGCACCATGCCAGTAACTCAACAGCATTCAGAAGTGGTTCCAAACCTTGGTCTAACACAAAAAATACTGGGGCATCTGTATCTGCAAATGAAGGGGGGGATGCAGAGAGAGAATTGTGCCTCTAAACAGTGCACTCATCTGTTGCATACCCATATGCACTAAGCAGTTTAAGGCTTCATTCGACTTAAGGAGCTCTTTTGCCACATGTATTGCATAAATACACATTTTAATACAACAAATTACGTAATAAAACAGCCACCCATGACAGGAATTCAGTATGTCATAAATCCATCTCCTTCCTTGATGTACTTCCAGCAAACTATACAAAGCATTTCTGTATTACTATGATTAAACTAGAAGCATTAATTTGGAATTAAATCCTGTGTTTTAAAAAGCAGTTTTAAAATTATCTAGTATTATACATTTGTTTGAATTACATCTTTCACTAATATATGTAAGTGCTATGAAGGTTACAGTTAATACCTACTTTGCACATGTCAAAAGCGTGTCATGTTCAAAATCCAGTATTGCAAGTACAACAAAAGGAAACCTGTGCCAACCTTTTAGAAAATTGCTTCTCGGATGTCACTGTGATCTTGTTCTTCAGACGTTCAATGTGAACGGTGTTGCCCAAGTTTCCAGTTTTTCCATTGACCTTAACCTTCTCCTTTAGGAATTGTTCCTGTTTCAACATTAAAGCAATAGAACACTAGGGAATGGCACCCTAGGTATGAACTAGGGAAGGCACCCTAGCCATGTAGCAATATTAAAAATCACTGTTTACTTATGTTCTGATAGCAAGTCTTTACAATAAAGTAAGATTTTACAGTGTGTAATTAAAAAACCCCATGCTCATGTTAAAATGGGGTTTAAGTTTTATTAATGGACAGATATGAACCATCTTGTCTATAAAATACATCTAACCCAAGAAACTTTCAAAAAGTGCCAACAATTTAAAGAACAGATGTTGATTTTACAAATTTATATTGCAACTTTTCAGCTGCACTTCAGTTATGACACTGCACTAAGGCTTTTGTTACACTAAGCACCAGAAGTAGGAGCAAAAGCACGACTTACAAAATTCCCAGAGTCAAAAATTCCATCTTCCACAGGATGGGTCAAGTCAAGGCAAAACTTCCAGGTTGACTTTTTAGATTTTCTATCCTTTTGCTAAAACACACAAAAAAACCCCAACATTAACAACAACCCACGCCCGAAAAAGCTTTTATTGGAGCGCAGGGGGACAGAGCGGAGGAGACGCGGCAGCCGCC